GAAGTTGACATCAAGAAGATGCTTGAGTTTCTGATTGACAATATCTATGTGGTTTTTGGAGACCAGTAGCAGACTTATTTTTATATTCATATGAAGCAGAATTTATGCAAAATCTTATGCGTGAAAAGAAGAAAACACTTGCTGTGGCCTTCAACTCGACATCTAGATATATCGACGATGTATTGTCAATGAACAATGATAATTTCCATTCCTACGGCGATACGATATATCCTGGTGAGCTTGAGATAAAAGATACCAAAGAGTCTGACACTTCTGTTTCATACTTGGATATTTTACTTGAAAAAGACGCTAATGGTAATCTAACAACCAAACTATATGATAAACGTGATGACTTTAACTTTTCTATCGTCAACTTCCCTTACTTATGCAGCAATATACCTTCATCACCTGCATACGGAGTATGTATATCTCAGTTGATTCGATACGCAAGAGCATGCTCTGCGTATGAACAATTTCTTAAACGAGGTAAATTATTGAAGGCAAGTTGATGAAACAAGAATATCAGCAGTCTCGTTTAAAGTCATCATTTCGTTAGTTCTATGGTCTATACAATGACCTTGTCAGTAAATACAATTTATCATTGAGTCAAATGCAGACTGACGTTTTTCATACCAATTGTTAGTCCATTATTTATACACTGAATTGACGACTGATTTTTTCCGTTATTTCCTGATCATGACAAGGAGCACGGGGCGGGTGTGACCGGTCGGCAGGGGATGCTCACTCTTCCATGGCACCTGATCCCACCTCTGATATTTCGGGGGTCCGTGTTCGCTTTGCTCTTATTTTGTATTGTTTTATGGACTTTGAGATTGAATACTGTTCGTTATCTCCATATCCTTCTGATAATATTAACAATGTTGAGGAAAAGAGAATTGAAATACAAGTAAACACATGGAACAGTCGCCCTTTTTAAATAAAATGAATAAATAAATCAAAATGTACGTAAATAAATAAGGGAAGAAAAATCGTTAAGTTGTGAAGCATTTTCAAGTATTTGCAGACAAGCAAACAAAGTTTCGTGAAAATAAATTGCAGTATTGTAGGGTGGCTTATAATACAATATAACATTTTATTCATTTATTTTTATATTAAACTTGATACAAATGTTTATGTTTGCATTTCAAAAAAAATTGATTTCCTTAATTTTCTATTAATAAATTTCTAAAGGTCGTCTTTAAAACATTTTTTTATCGGAAATAAACGACAAATATACTTTTATTAGAACTAAGAACCATAAGATACAATTAATGGAAAACATAAAATACTTGGTAAAGATTAAAAATAATTTCAATTTGATATGAGAATAATTATTTGTATGATTGTAATTTAAACTTAGCAAATTCATGTGTGAATTCTATACAAAGCTACAAAGCTGAGATACGTTCAAAATACAACAAAATTTGTAGAAACGATATCTTACTGAGATTTAATATTGAAAAGGGTACACCTATGCTAAAATGATTATTTATATGACTGTCCATACGGTGTTCATATGTCTACCGGTACTTATCATGTGGTTCTGCTTGGATATAGATGGGCCGGAAATATGTTTAATTTAAGAAAAATTAATGAACTGTTTTGAGGTGAATTGTTAGTGATTCTGTCCTGCAAATTTCTCGAAAATGGTCTGGACAAACTTTCTAAAACTGTATAGAAAATGATAATCACCAAACGAAGTTCACGGACGCTTGTCGTATTAAATCTTTCTCTTTATACATAAATAATGCCAATCTTAATTTTATTTATTGATTCCCTGTGTTTTGATTGGACGAGAACAAATTCAAGAAAACGTTTACACATCGATGAATTTTTCAGTCAGAACTACTTTCTTGACCTAGCTTCTAGGTTGTTGTAAAAAACAATGAAAACAGATACTTCTAGTCCGTTTTAGCTAAATTATGATTACAAGAAACTTGAAATAAAAAAAAGCAAAACAGGAGATAAACGGGACTGACAGACGGGAATATTATGTTTATGTCACTGTCGGATCACGAGTGTGAATTTTAAAAAAATCGTTGATCATGCTGTCATTTTCTCGACGTTCCATATCAGCTCAGTTGGTATCGTTGTGTAGGGAAAAGAAACGTACCTCAGACTCTTGCCTTATCAGCATCAAATTCATATATTTACATCCTACAGATCTCATATTCTTCCTAAATCTTTGAAGGATCCAGAGCAAATCGAGGACGTCGTCGGTCTGCAACTTTCGCTATGAGCCGCCGTTGTCGTTAATGTCAACATGGCCATGGTCAAGCACGAATTATTCTGGAGAATACGCGTATTTACGATATGTGTTGACTTAAACAACATTCAATGAGTTTTTATAAGTTTATTAACTGATTGTTTTGACAAAAAAAAATCACCATATCATAATAATAACGTTCCCCATAATTAATTATTAAATGATCCGGAATTTTGATGCTCTCTGATTGGTCTAGACGCCTTAGTACCTCAGAGTGAGTTCACCTCAAATGACATTCTGGGAGGTTTTTTTCCGGGTTTTTCCTCTTGACCACTCATAGATTTTCTTACATTTTCTTCGACCAGTCAAACTGGACGTCTTAAAGCATATGTCGTTGTGAATGTAAACATGGTAGACGTCAGTACCAAATAGACTTAACTGCTTTCTTAAGTAAAATAGTTGAGTATAATTGTTTAATAATATTATTGTCCTCTTTTTAACAATTATAAGCTGTTAAAATTAATAAATTATAATGTGTTGTTAATGAAACAGAATGTACAAAGTTGTATTTTTAATATTCATCAGAGCCAAAATGAATTTGAACTACTATATGAATAAATTGGATTCCGAAACATCATGAGAATCCTTACGAACAAAGATACAATGCAGGTTCCAGTAAATGTTCAACCAAGCCTATTTCTTTTCTCCTCACAAGATATTTACAGTAGTGAAGGATAAACTTCAAATGTACTGTGCAGCACTAAAATCAAGAAAGTGTGTAAATCAGATGTGGATACCCAAAAATTCTTCTTTTTTGAACTTTTGGACAATTTGAGACCACAAAATTTTACCAAAATCAACAGCTTGAAAACTTAATGACTTTTCAACATTATACACAACCATTCCCAAGATCAATTAAAGTCCAGGCTTTTCGATATCATTGAGAGCTGCTTTTTCAACAAATATGGAACTCGTAAATTTACTTAACTGGTCATTGGTCATTGCAAAATTATTTTTAAAAAGCATTCTGATTACACACACAAGTACTCTGAAGTCGACATCAAAAAGATGCTTTCAAGAGTGTCTGATTGACAATATCTATGTGGTTTCTTGAGACCAGGACCAGGTACCAGTGTACTAGCCAATGACTTTGAATGATTGTGTACCAATATGACATTTGTAGTCAGCAGCAACATGTGGCACGTCAAGCTTGTTTTTGTCCTAAAAAGGCATGTACATATATTATATTTGTTGTGATTTGATCCGATGGTTGGAAAATAGCTTTGTAGCTATCAATATTATCATTATAGGAAGTAAAACTTGCTTTGTCCGTCCACATGTAATTGTTGTTCAATGCATACTTGTGAACAATTATTCAAATTGAAATTGATACGATTGGTCAGTATTAAAACTTCGTCAGTGGTATTGCTTTGTGTCATATGTAAAGTATTATTGATTCTAATGAAATCAATCATCCAATCCAATGAGAGAAATGAAAATCAGCAAACAAAGTTTTAGCACACCCTATCAAGCAAACTCACACGCTGTTAGTAGAACGATAAGTGATTTTACAAATAATATATGCCTTATATGTCCAAAAGTGTATCCCCACGTGTTAATATTTATAAAGTATATTTGTAAACTTTGTATACTAGATTTAATAAATTTCCCGATTCCCCAATGCATTTCCTGGACTTGTCGATAAATAATAGATCACATTTTCATTTGATAAGACAGTTAAGAAAAACATGCATGTACAAATTAAAAGATACTACACTCTCTTTGACCCTCTGAATAAGATATATTTGTAAGCCATTGTCAACTTAAAATACGTAAGCAAAGTTTTATTTGCATAAGTGAATTTTATAGATGGTACATCAAACTTATGGTCACCTTTTCTTTTTAGCTCACCTAAGTTAAATTTACTTACCTTGCCATTTGTCATTTGCAAAATTATTTTGATAAAAAAAACATTCTGATTGCATACACAAGTACTCTAAGGTTGATATCAAAAAGGTGCTTGAGTTTCTGATTAACAATATCTATGTTGTTTTTGGAGACCAAGTCTTCCAACAATTTATTGGAATTCCCATGGGTACCAACTGCGCCCCGTCATTAGCAGACCTATTTTTGTTTTCATTTGAACTAGAATTGATGCAAAAACTGGACAATGTTGGATGTTTGTTTGTTTTGTTTTTGTTTTTTTTTTTTTGGGGGGGGGGGGGGAGGGGGTCCCTGCTATGTTTTATTTGTAGATTTATTTTGTTTGTAGTATTTTTGAGATTGACCAGAACACCTTATCATCACCTTTTTCACCTGCATATGGAGTTCCTGTCGCTTTTTTGATTCATGTGCTACGGAAGAACAATCTCTAAAAAAGAGCAGGTTTTTAAAAATCATGATGGACTTATGAAGTGGAAAATACGTAAGTTGTATGTGGAGAAAACTTTTGGCCTGTTATATTGTTTAGTGGCTGAGGTAGATATTATCCAGGCCCCGGGATCATAAAGTATATTCAGTGTAAGTCAAAATATTTATGTTTTACTTAAATGTTGTGGAAGTCAAGCATTGTGCGTTTTATTTTTATTTTTCTTCGCCAACAAATATGCCGCATATCTCTCAAGATCTTTAGCTTCTGACCTTTTGCTTGGCGAAATTTTCATTACGGTATATTGATTAAAAAATTAACTCAACTAACTTTCAAAGAGTTATCACAGAGAAAACAAATAAAAAATAGAAATATTTATCAATAGTGTTCAGCTTTACAGAAGAATACTTTCAAATTTAAAGTTAATGTATTTTGATACTATAAATTACTGTTCATAGGGAAATATTGTAATGTACACATATTCTAGTTTTCTTCTTTTTTCCCACCAAACATTCCAATAAGTAAACCACCGACCATCACAGCTGCTCCCGTCCACATAATGGCACCCAGGGCTTTGTCAGCCTGTAAAACATGACATTATTACAGCCTATGGGAACACTGATGAATATTTGTAATCAATAGAAAAAAAATACCCCTAAGAAATGATGCAAAATCTCACTGGTTTTCTTGATAAATGTAAATAATTTAATTCTAGTCGTAACACGTCGATTGACTGGGTAAACGATTTAAGATTTGAGATACAAATTATTTACGTTCCGTAAAATTAAGAAATTTCTTCCATTAAGTACAAAAAAAACTTTTCTACAATGCATACATTTTGCCTTCAATAAACTATTGTCTCACAGTCTGGGGTAATACGTCCAAATGTAACACTGAGAGAATTCATAAGCTTCAGAAACGGGCTGCTAGAATTATTCTTGATGCAGCACCTGACCAACCATCTAAGCCTTTGTTTGAAAAACTAGGATGGTTAAATGTTTTTGAATTAGTTACGTTTCATAAATGTATTTTATTGTATAAAACTTTTTATGGTATGAGCCCAGAATACATCCAGGATCTTTTTATTTTTCACAGTTCTGAATTATACTCGTTGCGTTCAGAATCTAATTATAATCTTCGATTACCAAAGCATCGAACAATCTTATTTACAAACTCTTTACAATATTCAGGTGTTCATTTATGGAATGGTCTACCTTTACATGTTAAATTATCACCATCTTTACCTGTTTTTAGAAAGAATTTGGAAAAAGTTATAATTAGCCAACGTCTGTAATTTTTATTATTATAGATGTCCTTATTAACTATGTCTTTTAAACTTTGTATATTGACTTACTTATTGTCCTATATTTTCATTAATTTGTATACTACATCCGATTATGAAATTATAATATGAGCTTATCATTTTCATGTACATTGTATATATGTTTGATTGTACCATTTTATGTATATTGTTTGAATTGTAGAAGGCCCCGGGGAAGAATAGTACTTTGTACTAATCGGGTTACCTTCTTTAAATAAAGCATTATTATTATTATTATTAATCCATTTTGTATAACATAACTTGCCTACGTTATAATGAGTTACGCCAAAAACGTATTACTCCGCTTGACGTCACTTTTTAAATATGCTTAATGAAGCCTTTTTCCGGAGGAAAAATTGTCTCATTGTCTATACTGAAATAAAATAACAAGGAATGAAGCTTATTTCAACTTATTTCAACGATATAACATAATTTGGGACAGTTTACGATTTTCTATAAACCGCTTTGTGGTTTATAAAGCGTAAACTGTCCCAAGTTATGTTATATCGTGTAACATAAGGTGAAATAATTAACGAACAATGCTTGGTTAAATGTAAATTCAAACAAAACTTATTATGATAATAAATTATAACAGGTGTTGGTTCAAGTGCCATGTGGAAGAGTAAGCATCCCAAGACGATCACTCACACCCGACGTGTGCTCCTTGTCATGATCAAGCAATTGGAAAAAAAGACGTAGTCGATTTAATATGAATACAATGTCCTTATGTTTGTGAAAGAATAGGTGACTTAAAAAACGAGATCCTACAAACAAGGTCATAGTATCGACCAAAAAAATGATATTGTTGATATTCTTGTTTCATCAACTTATGTGTAAAAAAGCCTACCTAGAACAGGCCCCTATGTATCAAATCAAATGCATGGCATTAACTCAATCTATCAAAATTCCTGATCATTAAAAAATAGTATATTTTGATACCTGTTCTGACCAGTTCACGCCGTATCTACAGTAGGCTGCAAAATGTTCACAATTCTTCCATAAAACATTGTAACCAATTTCTCCTAATTTCTTTAAAGCTTCTTGGACAATTTTGTGCGCTGGATGTGGACTGTAGAAACATTTTAATAATCATTTAATAATTTGTTAAATAACAATGTATTTGTTTCAAATACTCAAGTCTGAACAATGAAATATCATAGAGTAGCAATTTTCTCTCTTTTTTCTTTAATATATTGTACTTCCATTAAATCGTCAAAATTTTATTTATATGAAACATATATATTGAAAAATTCACAATTTTAAGGATTATTGAATATATTCTGTTTATGTTAAATTATGTTAGCAGTGGTTGCATTTACAAAGGGCACGCTGAAGAGAATTACTACAGTTAAACGGGTAATTTAGGTTTTTTTTTAAATTTTAATAATATTTTACAAGAAACATGAACGATACCTTTCAAATACGTATTAGAACCACATTTTCTTTAAATCTTAATGTAATTTAAAAGAAAAATAACAAATGGATTTTGTAGGAACCTGCATTTCCTGTCCTTGTTGTTGTTTATTTTTGCCTCAGAATCCCCAACCACTGTCCAGAAGTTTTCCATTTTGACCACAGCCTTTTTGTAAGTCTTTCCACAAATGGAAAATACGTGACTAGGGTTTGAATTCCCGTTGATACCATCATTATCAATACCAGCTAAATGTACTACCTCTTCGTTTCCTGCAAAGTTAAGTATTAATGCACGGATTTTCATCTTTTGGCCGTGGTATTCTTTGAATGTTTTTTTTTTTTTTTTTTTTTTTTTTGCAAATCATTTCTTCAAATACAGTTTAAACACTTTTAAACAGGAACTTTACACAGTGTCTTAAATTCATTGAACTATAACTTGTACAACTTCTATTGTTCAAAAAACAAGTATTTATTTAGTTTTTAATTATTTTACTATTATTTATACTAACATTTTCACAAAACTATAGCAATAAGTAAAAAAACCGTATATGTATGTCTGAATCGAAACACATCGAAATAGTCATGTTAACTGTGATTTTAAAAAATCTTATATCTGAGTATTTTGCTTTCAATATTTCTTCTTCATATAATTGCACTACTTGTTAAAAATATTTTATTACATTTATTTTGTTAAATTGAAGGATATGGAGATAACGAACATTATTATATAGTCTATTTATATTTCCTATATATTCTTTACAAGCACAAATAGTTCATAACACTACATATTCACTGGATTTGAGGCCGTATTCACCGGAGGGTCATTGCACGTGAAGCGGCATTGTGACGTCACAATCTATACCTCAAACAATGTTGTAAACAGTGGTTGCAACGGCCGCAGCGAGCTACGTATACGAGCAGGAAAAATATTATACAAACCTATTTCAGGATTATTTTTAAACATTTGGACGTCTTACACATAGTGAAACTTGGAAAGACAAACACGGTGACAAATTCCATGTGTAATCAGGATATTTTCTTTCAACAACGGAAGTTCGTTAAAGAAAGTGGTGTTGTCTTTCAGCCTTCAATGTCTTATTTATTCAAATTCGGACTATATAATAAAACAATTATGGACTCTTATGGTGTTGAATATGGTTTGTTATTCACCAGAAAAATATCCATATTGACCGAGGCGAAGCCGAGGTCAATATGGATATTTTTCTGGTGAATAACAAACCATATTCAACACCAAAAGAGTCCACAATTGTATAATATTCAATATCAAAGTCCATAAAACAATACAAAATAGGAGCAGAGTAAACACGGACCTCCAAAACATCGGAGATGGGAGTAGATGACATGGAATAGTAAGCATCCCCTGCCGACCAGTCACACCCATCGAATGATCCTTGTCATGATCGTGAAATTATAGAAAAATCCGTCGTCAATTCAGTTTATAAATAATGGACAAACAATTAGTATGACAAATATCAGTTAGCAATTGACTCAATGATAAATTGTATTTGCTGACCGGGTCAACGTGTCGACCACAGAACTTACGAAATGATAAAATCAACTGAGATATATAGACTCCGTTTGAAGGTGATGAAGGTATATTGCTGCCTAAGTAAGGGAAGTTGACAATAGAAAAGTTAAAGTCATCTCGTTTATCATAAATCTTGGTTGTTAGATTTCCATTAGCGTCTTTTTCAAGTAAAATATCCAAATATGAAACAGATGTGTCAGACTTTGTGGTATCTTTTATATCAAGCTCACCAGGATATATCGTATCGACATAAGAAGGGAAATTACAATCGTTAATTAACAATACGTCGTCGATATATCTAAATGTCGAGTTGAAGGCCACAGCAAGTGTTTTCTTCTTTTCACGCATATATATATTGTTTAATATAAATTCAAGGAATATAAGAAATACCTATATAAACAGCCCAGTGCGAGTAGAATCCTCTGGGAAATTCCAGTAAATCTCCTTTTCGTGCTCTATTTATAACTTGTCTGTTACGTAATTCGTTCATGTCAACTGAGAAATGCGAAAAATAAAACAAATTAGCAATAAAACAGTAACATAAAAACAGTAAATTGATGGAATCAATAGTTTCCAGTAATATAAAATTTTCTGTTCAATGTTACTTTCATTATCTTTTCATCTTAAGTACAAAACCGATTAATGGTTTAGGATGACAATTATACGGAAATGAATACTATATATACCATACACAGAGAAGTCTTACCTGTTATGTAGCTTTGCGTACGGAAAATAAAGTTAGTGCTTTCCTCCTCTAATTTGTGGTGTACTAGTATGGTTTCAATAGCTATTATTAGTAAGAAGGTACACGGTATAAAGAATGATAACTCTATCAGGCAGATATTGATTGATTAAAAAAAACCATGCCATTAAAGAAACGAAAGTGAAGATATATACCTTGATCATTATTTAAAAAAAGAAAAAAAAAACGACAACACAACTTGTAAAACGTTAGCGCTTTCATTTCAAATTCTTCAGACGTTTTACTTTGACGTTAAAATGTTATGGTAATGACGTAGCCAACAATACAATGACTTCACAATGAATGTTCGGGAAACAAGCAAAAGCGTATCTGTTGAACATATAAGAAATAAACATACATGTCTATAAAATACAATAAACTATGCTAAACTGAACAAAGTTGGTTTTAAAGACTTAAAAAAATGTTTTTCTTTTTCTCTTCATGATCATTAAATACACATTTACGTGAAAAACATTATAATTGGATTAGAAAACAAACTAAACGTCAAGGTTTTTCTTTGTTGTAAGAATGTCGTTAGTGTTTGGAATATTTCATACCGCGGGAACGTGGTTAAAATATTGCAAACGCTGCGTTGAACAATAAGAAATCAGTCAACCCTTCAATTCACTACCTAATGATAATCGTGCACGTGATGACTTTAAATTTGCCATCGTCAACTTCCCTTACTTATGCAGCAATATTCCTTTATCACATGTATATTGAGTTTATATATCTCGTTTGATTCTATACAAAAATATCAGCAGTCTTGTTTAAAGTAATCATTTCGTAAGTTCTATGGTCGATACAATGACCTTGCCGGCAAATGCAATTTATAATTGAGTCAAATGCTGACTGACGTTTTTTTTATACGTATTGTTAGTCCAATATTTATACACTGAATTGGTGACGGATTTTTTCTTTATTTCTCGATCATGACCAGGAGCACAGGCAGGTGTGGCCGTCGGCAGGGGATGCTCACTCCCCCATGGCACCTGATCCTATCTCTGATGTTTTGGAGGTCTGTCTTTGTTTTGCTTCTATTTTGTATTGTTTTATGAACTTTTCATCTTGAATACTGTTCCTTATATCCATGTGTTCCATTAATAAAGAGCTAGTTTATTATCAAAAATAAGTGTTTAAGCATGAAGAAGGTGAAAGATTAAAAGGAACTTAATTTTTTTTAAGAATACAAATTTGTAAAGAAGACATACACACGGACCTCTGGAAATTACAGAGGTGGGATCAAGTACCTATAAGGCATCCGATTAAAATAACATACGTATGAAGGCCTGGTGAAATAAAACGATAGCAATTTCATGTTTTACTGTGAAAGGTCTTGGCGGCATCGTTGAGTAAGAAAAAGAAATACTTTATTTGGTTAGCATTTCTATAACTACAATCAAATTTTATTTGATTATAACAGATTTCGCATTCGAGATTAACTTTTTGTAGGTGAGATATCAACAGGGTTAGGGTTGGGGTTAACCCTAATCCTAACCTTTGTAAAGGGGTTTTTACATTTGAAATGTGCAAATCTCCAAGGGAAAAAAATCATTCATTAATTGAAAATAGAATAAACATATGGGGTAACTGTGGGAAATATAAAGATAATAGATAGAATTCATGTTCAAAACTCCATCTAAACAATACAAATTAGGATAGATTAAAACAACCTTTAAAACATCGGAGGGGCTATGGGGAGTAAGTATTCCCTGTTGAATGCTCTTTGTTATGATCGGGAAAAACGGAAAATCCGTAGACAGTTCGGTGCATAAATAATGACCTGATAATATGTATGAAAAACGATAATCAGCATTGGACTAAACGACATATTGTATTGGCTGAGACAAGGTAATTGTAGTAAATTGCAAAATGATAATTTTTAACGAGACCACTGATATTATTGTTTCAAAAACATGTTTGTCAATAGCTTGACTCGTTTTTAGAATGTGTTCATACGTAGAACATGCTGTTACTTATCGAATTAACTGAGAGACCATATGCAGGTGATAAGAGTATAACGCTGCTTAAGTAAGGGTAGTTGGCAAAGGAAAAATTAAAGTTACTACGTTTATCATAAAGCATTTTTGGTAAACTACATTAACATGTTGAGTCGTCTTCTAGTAAAATATCCAAATATGATACAGGTGTGTCAGACTCTGTGGTATCTTTTATTTCAAGCTCACCGTGATAAATACTGTGTCAACATAAGAATGGAAATAATCGTTGTTAATTGACAATACGTCGTTGATACTGTATATCTATATGTCGAGTTGAAAGCCACAGCAAGTGTTTCCTTCTTTTCACATATAATATTTTGAACAAATTCTTCTTCATATCAATACTTTAAATAAGTATTTTGTTGAAACTAGACCAGTAGTATTAATGAAAGAGAAAACATGAGCAAAACTGAGAGAAAAGAATGGTACAGACATGCTAAAATGTCCCCAATGTATCAAACTTTTTACAGTTTTCAGTTGATTATAAAGCAACTACCGCATTAAATTTCATTTAACAGAGAAACAACAAAAGTTACATGGCCGAAATGTGTCAAAGGCACACGTTCATATTTCATAAAAAAAACACTGCAGCAATATTTTCGCTAGAATGGAAATAATAGCATCTATTAATTTTAAAGAATAGATGAGCTTATTTTATGAAGAAAACTTTATTGCTGCTATTTGAGTTGGGTTAGCTAGAATGTAAATTAGATCGGGATCGGGATATCTCAAATTCTCCCTCTTTGCCCTGGATCCTAAAACGAAAGGTACACGAATTTAGCAGCAGACAGAATTTTTTTTAAAATTATGCTTTCAATCACGATTGTTTCTAAAATCCCATCCCACCCAATATTGTAGAGTAAAGGTAGAATCTGCATCTTAACACTAAACTGTTTTACGAAGTTTTTGTCTGCTGTTGGGGTTTTCTCTATCCTTTCAGGTTTGACTTGAGTATTGACTTCACCTGGAAGATTTTCGTCGTAACATTCCATGGGCCTGAACTTGTATGCTGTAATTTTGATTGCGTGTTTAGCTTCGCTGTAAGAGTCCTTGATGATATTCCATTGAATTACGAGTGGTTTTTCCCCTTTTCGTCTCAAGATTCAGTTTGCGCCGAGCCATTCAACTGATGCTATAATTCATTGTGCTGCTGCTGCTTAATACAAACTCATTTACTGTGAAATGTGTGCTGCTTTCAACTCAACAAATTCATGAATTGCTCTACTTTGCTGAATTGAAACAAACTCAGTTGCTCTGCAAAATGTGTACTGCTTTCAACAAACTTCATGCAAAGTGCTTTGCTTGATGAAATATCTTTTGTAACGTTTGCGGTTTGATAACCCGGAACGATAACTACATACATGTAAACTTGTAAAGTTTATTTAAAATACATGTACATAAAACTTAATTGTAAGGTTAATAACCGTTCGCGGTATACCTGGAACGGCTATTATTATGCTTATTATATGTACATGTAATATTATGCTTTCATGTTGCTTGCTGCTGCTGCTTGTTGTAATTTGGGGTCGCCCTTTTACGCTTGGGGACCCCCTGCTGCTTTTATGCCACGACCTACAATCGCCAATATCAAAATTAACGTGTAAAAAATCGTGTTTGTTTTATTTTCCTCTATATAAATAAGATATAAATTATTAATATTACATATAAGTATTGTGTTGAGGAAAAACTCTAAATTTTGAGATGTATATAATGTAAATTTTGACATGTATACATGTGTAAAAACAGTGTCATGCATATAATTTTTTAGAATATCGACAAAAAGTTTATGAAAAGTAACACAAGTATTTTTATAAACGTGAGGAAAATTAATCCCGATAAAGTGATAAACCTTATAGTACATGTAATCCCACTTCTTTATTGAAATCATCCAATCACCATGGGATAATCCAGGAATTCACAGACGTCATCAGTGCATATACCAAATCACCATGGGAATAATTCAAACACGTCATCATTCATCTAATCACCACGGGGCAATCATGGAATTCACAGACGTCATCAGTGCATTTTATTTTTCTGTGAATCTGAAAAGTATTTCACACATCATTTTCTTACACAAATTTGTAATATTCATGAATCAATCTTCAGTTTTTGAGAAAAAGAGTTTGAAAAGATTCTCTAAAATGTATTTTCCACCATGAAAGGATAATGGCCCTTCATTTGTACAAATTTAAATTCCACTACCCAAGGATGCTGCTTTTTGGAAAAATTTTGGCGGAATTGGCTCGGAATTCTAGTAGAAGAACTTACAAACAAACGAAATGATTGCACAAAGATTGACGACGAATGTCATACAAATTTTTAAAAAAAAGAACTGATGGGCTATAGATATCCGAAACATGAAGAGTTTAAGATCTCAGTCGCATACGGCACCATTTATCAACTTCCACTTTTTCAAGAACTTTGCAACAATTTGTAACTTAACTTGAAGGAATTTTACCATTTTATCCAAGTTTGACACCCATTATCCAAAAAACATGAAAAGATACAAACGCAAAAATACATATACACTGTATAATGCTGTTCAAAATACATGTACATTCAGAAATTAACAAGGATTTCTCAAAAACCTTCACATCAATCTGGAATACTCTGGAATTGTCTATTTTGCCAAATGTTACAAGGGCAATTTTTGAAATTCTAAAGAAAGGAAAATCCCTTAAAAGATAAATATCAATATTAATACATGTAATTGATTACCTGTATGTTTGTGGGTCTCATTCTAAGAATAAATAGACCAACCTGACCTTTTTAATGTCTTAAGGTTATATTTATTGGAAAGTCATCCCAACATTGTAGGGGAATAATTAAGATATGTCTCCGTCAGTTTTAAGTGATCTTTTTACTTGATCTGACTTTGCAGATGCATTGCAGATGATCAAATGATAGCAAATATGATCATCAAAATTTTTATGCAAATATATTGACTAACCCAGGAGCATGAGCCCCCAAAGAGCAACCAGAAGGGAAAACAGAGAAAGATTAAAAGCGGATCACTACAGCGCTTTTTGGGCGTGGTGTAGTTGTGGATAAAGATCTCCATGTGTCCAAAGTCAGTGCTGCTGCGGGAACTATCCCAGTAAAAATAAGAATCCACCACTCCATTGAACCACTGCTGAACAGGAGGACCAAAATCCAGCTGCAAAATTTTCTCCGGTAAGCTCAACACGTGATGGTCATTCTTACTTGCTGTTTCCCAATAGACATCTAGGGAAATAAGACTGAATACTCTTCTAAATTTTTATCATAATTGTCAAAAGATTTTATTATATAATGTGCTATTAATTTGATAATAGAATTCAAACAAAATATCAACATTAAAACATAAAAAATATATTTAGACAAGAAATCTAAAGTCAATTAAAAAAGATCATTTTAAGAAGGGAATTAAAACACATGTAGTAACAAACAATCAAGTTTCCTTCAAGGTTTACAATTTCAAAAAAAAAAAGATCATAAGATACGACCAGAAGGCATGGCCCTGTCCTACCTTTAGACAAAACTTTTCACCCTCTTGCATTTTTTGTGTGATCTCATTGAGCTTGTGTGAGAGGATTTCCCGAATCAATGGATGTCTGGTGTTTACGAGGACGACAAACTGCTCTACATAAAAGACGAAGATGCCAAACAGTAGTGGAGCTGACCATTGAAACAACAAAAGGGCTTAGTACCCACTGTTGAACGCACAACCGTACGTTACAACCATAGGGGTGGTTGTATTTAATGAAAATATTTCCTTCAAGTACCAAAAGATTTCTAGTCTCGGTAATTAGTAATCTTTGATTCAATAAAAACATGTTAATTCCCTGTTTTAGTTGTATTTTCACATGTTTTCAAAATGGCAACTGAAATATTTGTTTATGGCGACCAGAAATTCTGAAATGGCGACCAAAAAGATTTTTAGGGACCTAAAAGTAAGTGCGACTTGGAGCCATGTGTCTATTGTCATGATCAGGCAATTTTAAGTGTAATTGATAATCTATCTATTACCCTGAAAAGTGTCAATCAGTATTTCACTGAACGATTGATTGTATTTGCTGACAAAGTAATTGGTTCTGCGAAAGAACTTTCAAAACGTTTCATGCTAAATTCTAGTCCATTATTAACACTTAATTGTAAACTGATACCGTTAACGTTTGCCCAGTATTTAGCAGAGGGTGGGTTTGACCGGTCTACAGGGAATGCTTACTCTTCCATGGCAGCTGATCTTACCTCTGACGTTTGGGTGGTCCGTGTTAACTAAGCTTCAAACTTGCAAAATTTTGACTTGTTAAGGATAACTGTTCGTTATATTCATATTTAAAGCACGCTATGGTGAATCGTATTATTCAAAATAATAGATAATTAGGCAAGATTTGTGCGTATTATAAGAATCGTGATATTCTTATTGAAAAACAATGAAGGTAAAAATGACATTGCTCAATTTTTTAAAGACCTAAGAAAAAACAACATATAAATGTTGAACATTACAGTTGCATCCCAAGAATATACTAGAGGTGTGAACAAGTGCCTTGGATAAGAATATTTCCTTATTGACTGGTTACACGTGTAATATACTATGTTTGCAATCCAAGTAAACACACCGACCATTAAGACCTAAAATTTTAGAAATTGTGTCTTTAAACAAAGCTGATTAAATCTCTTAAATATACACCTATTTTTCAGTAGCCTACTTGTCCAGCTCCTCGGTCCAAGTATGCCCTCACGGTCATTTCTTGTTAGGTGCGTTACTTTGACGTGGAATAATATAGGCTTTGTCAAGAGATCATTTCTCAATCGCTGTAGTTCTTCTAAATTATCCACCTTTAACTCCCTGTAATAAAGGAAATAATGAAGCACGTGATGTTAATTTCTTAATTTATTCATATAAAAAATGTATATAATCTGAATGCAGCGTTTATACTTTGCTCACTTCTCCATGGCACCTGATCTTACCTTTGATGTTTTAGGAGTTCGAATTTTGCTCTGATCCTGATTTGTAGTGTTTAATGAACTTTTTGGGCTTGAATACTGTTCGTGTCAGTATTTCGTGAATTCTATGGTCGTTATAATGACTTTGTTAGCAAATCTTACTGGATCGTTTTTGTCTGACCTGTTTCATACAAATCATAAGGTTGTTGTTTTGTGTATAGAATTTGACTACGGAATGTTTAATCTACCTGATCAATATATAAGGACTCAAGGCCGCCGTGACGGTAAACAGGGGATGCTTACCACTTAAGGCACCTGATCCCACCTCTGGAATTTCCAGCGGTCCGTGTTTCATGTCCTGTTCCTAATTGATGTGTGTTGTTTGAGGCTTTTATGAGATTAATCACTGTTATCTTCACCTTGTCATAATTCTGATAAAATTACCATTTATTATCTTTTATGAGAACTATGACAAACAATACAGAAATAAGATAATGGGAACAATGTGATGATCAATTTCAAGAATCTAATCGCCTATGGAACATTCCATATTGATAACTTTTAAGTTCTCATTTAAATATAGTGTGTAATTTTCAGAGCCATGAATATCAAGGGAAAACATTTTACTGGGTGAAAATTTATATGCACAAATTACATTTTTGCCGTTGAAAGTATTTTTCATTAAAAAATTAAAACTACAAGTATGTTTTTGTTTCCTGTATTTATTTTTAAAGACAATGATAGTATTGTACAGATGCTTTATGACAAAAATCGAAGTAATAAAATTATGAAGTGTATGTAAGAGAACTACCTGGTACACATTTAATTATAAAAGTTTGTAAAAAAAAAAACAAAAAAACATTACTATTAATTACATTTTTTATTCTTTAAAAAATGAAAATATGTCTGGTTCATCTGGCTATATTGAGAAGGAATTCTTTAGGTGGGAGCAAGCCTTGATGTCTTGGGTTAGCGAATTAACAGGAATATCTCGAAAACAATGAGATACATCCATGCAATCCATTTTTCTTTGAATCTACAAAATACACAAGCCTCAGTAAGAATATGTACGACTGGAGGTCTATCACATGAAATACCAATTTAGAAAAGTCGATCGTTGGCTTAAGAATATCATAACAAAACTAGAAATTAAAATTTTCAAAGAACAGAAGAAGTTGCAGATTTACAATGAATCAAAATTTAGGTTTTTGAATTAATAAAAAATAAACCTTGACACTTTCATTGCATATAAATTTCTTCACTACATTCTTTAAAGACTTTTAATACCTACCTAGAATATGTTCCATACAAGAAATAAGATAATCTTAGCAAAACTTAGGCGGTGACTTAAGTATGTCTTAACAATCTTATACACATGTTTAGATCTATTTAAAGTTGAATCTTGACGTTAAAATAATACTCTAAAATGAAGAAAATTATTTTAATGCCGGTTTAAGATTTTTTTTAATTTTGTCATAACTCAGTAAGTACTCCTATAAAAAGGCTTACACAGTAGCAGGAACCCCCGAAGAGCCATAATGGAAAACAGAAAACGATGACAAGTGGGTTAAGGCAACAGTTAATGGGCGAGCTGCAGTTGTGGATGTAGAAAGTCATGCTTCCAAAATCGGTTCTTTTCAAGCCCATATGCGGATCCACCTGTTGAGCATACCACTGCATCACAGCTTCTCCAAATTTCAGCTAAAAATAGAAGTCGTCATATTCTGGAAGAATGTTCATTACTGTACATGAATTTAAGAATTGATTAATTTTCTTATTTTGTACAAAAATTTACACAATTATAATTTGTTAAAAGCACAAGGTAAAAATAGTTTCCCGCCATAGGAATCTTTATGGAAAACAAGGTAATCTCTGCATTGTCCACATGATTCTGGCATTTTCCGCCAAGTTTCCTTTGTACGGCTTCCAATTAAAGTTGTAAACTGGAGATTTCTGAAGCCTCTAGGTTGTTTCCTTTACTTGAAATGTTTAAAATGCCATTTGTTTCAATTCCTGATATAAATTTACTTGATATATGCATTTACTTTACAACCAATTTCCTCGGAAATAATTAAAAATAGTATACATGTATGTGCTGTTGATGATGGTACATTGTATTAGACATTTAAAAAATATAGACAGAAATTCAAGGGAGTGAGGATGTTGATATGTAGACCTACAGTTATGTAAATACTTGTACATAAAGCGGAAATAATACAAATATTACGGTCCAGGTCAAATTTCCAGACAAACATTAGAAGGGCGGATATTAATTTAAGTTAGAATATTCAATGAAAGTACCAAAGCCTTCATTAAAATAAATTAACATAGTGTTTAAAAAATCCGAAAATCTTTATAAAATTGTGGCAAGAGCAAGAAGTGGATTCGAACCATAGATTTTAAACGTAGAGTCAATGGTCTTTCCATGAGAGCTAAACTGTAAACAACAAATATGAGCCTGATTGTCTAAAAAGTCTTAGACGAAGAAATTGCCGTATAAGCAATGTTTGAACGTAATAAATATAAAGGACAAGATAGGGTAAGACCAGTATTTGGCCCCCGATTTTGGGTGTCTTTCAGAATGATCCAACAGTTTATCCATGAAAACCTGTTTTCACCCCTGCCACAAAATGAGTACTGGTTTTAAGATTAAGAATATACAGAGGTCACAGTGAGGTCAGGAAATAGGTCAATTTTCGAAATTTCTCATTTTTATGCAAATTTTCACTAATTTTACAGCACATTTTCTTTCGGAAAACATAGAGCACACGCTTGCCTATCTACCAAATTTATATATTTTATACACTGATATCAGATGCAGTATATGTGTAAAAATCTCAGATAGGCAAGCGTGTGCTCTATGTTTTCCGAAGAGAAATGTACCCAAAATATGATGAAAATCCACCAGAATTGAGAAAATTCGGGAAAATGTCCTATTTCTGAACCCTCTAGTGGCTTCCATGTAGACTTTGAATCAAAATTAGTGCTTGTATTAAAGTGAGGATCATTTTAACTTTTTAACTACAAACTATCACAGTTTTATCAGTGTTCTGATTTTTATATAAAAAATTCGGCTGTTACCCTATCTTGTCCTTTGAACAAATTGATGTTAGGTACAACACGCAGATTCTAAAATTCAGTGATACGATAGAAAATAACTGATGAATATGATGATAACTTATAAAACTAGATGATGTTATAAGACGAAAATACCATCATTAAGGTTTTTGCCTCTAAATTCAGACTCCATCATATTTGCCTCTAAATTCACACTCTTTCATATTTGGACAACCAAGGAAATTAAAAGCCACAATAATTCTATAATTTACACAGTTAACGTATTGGTCAACCCGAGCATAAAATGCTCAGGTGAACATGCGGCCCATGGATCTCGTATGTCAGAATTTCATATAATCCATTACCAGTCTGAAATTATAGAATATAATTAATAATGTAAATTATGTTTAAATAAAGAGGGAGGGGTGGATAAATATTTGGCCCATGTTTGGAACTTTTGAAATTTATTTTCAAAACAACGAATAATATTATTGTAGTGTATAGTGTTTTTTTTTTAAATATAAATTGAAAACAATTAGATGCAAACTTTCAGAACTGATCACCTTGCGGAAACTTTTATCAGTATTTGGGTATGCAAAAACCTTCTTGAAAACCCACACACAATCAATTTCGTCAAAACCACCCTCCCATGATTCGCCTGCTTTTTTTTTTGTTTGTTTTTGTTTTTTTTTAAATGGATAGAAGATATATGTTAAAACATCATTTGTAACTATAATATAAATTTATACATGTGTTCTATACGTGTACAGCTTTTGGAAATTTTGTAGACCTACGCCTCACATTGGACTTGCGTCACCCTTCTTGTATTAGTTTTACCATTATGATGCATTATCACTATTGGATTGCACATGGTGTACACATTATTGAGGGTGCATTCAGAGTTCATCAGATGTTAACCAGCAGCATGTTAGGTCACCAACATTTACAAATTGTTCCAACCAGTAGTAATTGGTTACCACAGTTGACCATCAGTGTATTATTTTAAATGAGATCACCAAATCTACCAGCAGTCTAGAGCGTCGACAGGATGTGTGTATGACATCACCATACCAATAAATCATGGCGGCTTAATTAACTAATTTGGCAAATTAAGTAAAAATTGCACTATTGTACAGGTTTTTGTTATATCATGACCAATATTTATGGAATTTGTATTTATTTGGATTTTTCAAATAAAATTGTTCCATCTTTTGCATGTACATGTAATTTCATCTTACAAATACCGCAGTATAAATGGCTCATACCAGTAATATTTCTGCATGCTCTTGAATGTTTTAGAAGTGAAAGTAAGCTTTTGGTTAATATGATTGAACATTTTTGCTAAGTCTTATCACGGCTTTGAGATCAAGAATTATTATTTTTCTCATTTAATTGGTTCATCAGCAGTTTCGTTTAAAGTCACAATTTCGTTAGTTAGTTCTATGGTTGATACAATGACCTTGTCAGCAAATACAATTTATCATTGAGTCAAATACTGACTGACTTTTTTATATTAATTGATAATCCATTATTTATACACGGAATTGAAGACGAATTTTCCGTTATTTTCCGATCATGACAAGGAGCACACGGCGGGTGTGACTGATCGTCAGGGACTGTTTACCTTACCATGGCACCTGATCCCAACTTTTTTAAGGTCCGTGTTTGCTCTTCTCCTAGTTTGTATTGTTTTATGGATTTTTGGTCTTGAATACTGTTCTTTTCTTTCTTCAACTTCCCTTATTTATGCAGCAATATACCTTCATCACATGCGTTATCTCCATATGTGTTCATTACAAATGACTACCAGTTGTAAGCAAGTGCTGCCACTTGTCTGTGACAGACGGACATGAGTAACAACAATATACCTGAACTTTCTATGGAAAGTACGGGTATAAAAAACAATTTAAAAAAAAACATTGTAAATGATCTTATAGTTGTTTCATGTACCTTCAGACAGAATCTTTTGCCTTCCTGCATAGCCTGTGTGGCTTGATTCAGCTTGCTTGTTAAAACTTCTTGAATAGTTGGAAATTTTGTGTTAACGAGGACGGCTAACTCAGCTAAAGGAAGCAGAAAATGATAAATGTTGAAGAAGATGTCTTGGAAAACATTTTCATGCACTTCATTAAGTACACTACGATGCCTAAATGACTTTCATCTCCTGGTCATCTAAGACACCAGGGTTTCATAAAAATGCTAACTGATATTAATTGAATTTGAAAAAGATAAGTATTTCTTTTTAAGGAATGATTGACACGAGATATCATAATCTGCATCATGAAATGTCTTCAAAATAAATTGTATACGTTTAAACTTACAACAATCACTTTTTTACATTCAATTGATTTAAATAAATATTTGTCCTTAGAAAATGATTTTTTCCATATTATTTCTCAACTGATTATGTTGTGTAAATAAAACCCTATACAAAGGTTCTATTTGAAAAAAAAAATATATACGCGTAAGGTACTCCGATCCTCAGGTTCTGAAAATCAGACATTGACTATTTGAAAATACTGATAAAAATGTCTCTGAATTCTCAAAGTAACGAGTTTTTACCCACGATAATTTTTACAACTTCACCTTTAAAGTTAATCATTTTATACATGGAATATTAGAAAATCTCAAATAAACTTTTCAGGAAATACGAATAAAAACACCTACTATCCATTTCCCAATTCAAATTTCATCACCAAACACATTTTAGAAATAAAAATCATACGTATTCAGGCTTTTGAAGAAATTGCACAATTTTTTTTATACATATAATATTATACCTCTATTGATAATTCTCGAATTTGATTGGCTGGTAAGAAAACTTTAAAACACAACAATGACTCCAAATGGTACAGTGTTTACAGCAATAAGGACCTAGAAATCATTGCACGTGGGATATAATGACCCGGTCATTAATAATAATGACCGCTAAATAATGATAAAATATTAATTATTCGAGAAAACATGTTTTTAAATTGTGCATGGTCTGTTTTGCATTACCATACAGAATAACGGCAAAATTTTATCGTTAACTTAAACATAGGCGCTCCCCATGTAATTCTGTAAATGACGTATGATAAGTATATTTAAAACATTAGTATGACATCATCTTTTGTTCTTTTAATGCTTTCTATTTCTTGCAAGGCCCAAAACAGTCCAATAAATTACCTGAAACTGTCCAATAAGTTTAAAAATCTGTCCATTATTAAAAATAAGTTACTTATTGGATGGCTACAGGTAACTTACTAGATTAAGAAAACACAACACAAATAAACACAAATAAATATTTTTCAGGCAATGAATCCAACAGTTTCACAGTGTAATTAAATAATCCATTCCAAGTCACAAAAACTGAAACTTTGTAATTATTCCAATAAATGATGAAATGTATATTCCATCTCACAATGAACATCAAAACTTAAATTTGAAGGAAATATCTCGATCTTAATACTATTAGAATGTAATTTGCACCAACAACACACGAGGGGATATCACTTCTCCTGGCAAGAAACAGTCGCTCCTTAAATTCTTATTTCTCACTAGTACTTTGAATAATTTTTCTCATTTTTCTACAGAAACACATCCATCGTTTTTCTGCTACAGGAATGCAAGGGTGTTTTGTCAATAGCCTTGTCTACTCATCTCCCGATTTGTTTCTGATTTTGGCGAAAAGAAAGCTTATAATTTTGTTGATTTCTTTATCACTCAACACTTTAACGTACATTTAAGAAATAAATAACAAGTTTATAAACTTCAATGGGAATTGAAGTGGGTCGGTCACGTGATCAAATCCTGTGAAGGCCGAAGGCCTTCTCAGAAGATTTGATCACGTACCGACCCAATTCAATTCCCATTGAAGTTTATAAACTTGTTATTTATTACTTATATATACATTTGAGACAGACAATTAAATATTTTCGAATTTAAATTATTGCACTAACCGTCCGTCGTAGATTTTGAAAAATGACGCAAGGTGTAAATCGGCTTGCATGGCGGTTACGCTTCGAATTCATTAGGCTAAGGAATCTATTTCGAAGGGAATATTTTGTGAAAGGCTTCTTGTGATCAGTAATAGTGAACAGATTGTTGTCTGGGAATATTTTATTCGTGAAAAATGATAATCAATGCTGAAAAGACACAAGAAACATGTCCGAAGTTTGATGATAATAAGTTGGAGGAATTTCGGTCACTGGAAAGGGATGGATGGATCCGATGGATTGAGACACTTGTCCGAACCAGTTAATTTGTAATTTGATCAAAAACATTCAACGGTTTCAGTAACTAAAGGCATACTTTATCGTAAAACACTGATAGACACGGAGACACTGGCGACAGCTTTACATTGAACTACGAAAACGCCGAGGTGTTTGGCAGCTGTTCATGGCATGATTGCAAAGATATTTTCCAACAGATTTACACATTTATCGTGAGTAAAATTTAAAGATAAAAAAAAAGTTTTTCATGAAAATTTAACCAAAGGTCTATCCCAAAGATAAGGATGAACGTTAGAGACTGTGCAACTGACAAAAGTGAAAAAAAATGTAAACAAACGCTAGGCTCCTAGTTTTCTCTATGAATCGATAGCCCAAAAACTGTTTGAAATACTTGTTTACATTTAAAATAAAATAATTATCATTTTACTTGCTTATTTTATTCATTTTTATACATGAAAACCAAGTAAAGCAGGTCATTTTTTTTATAATTTATGTATCGTAGATATTATTGCGCCATGTGATTAGGTCACGTATTGACCTCTGACCTCTGACAAACTTCATACAGAATTGAAGATATTTTGTCTCTGTATGTTTATATAATGGAGAGATACCACAAATGTATATATTATATAAATGGTGCCTGTTTTGTAGGGTAACATTTGAAATTGAGACCCCAAGGATAACCATTGTCAACCGACGCGTCAGCGGAGGTTGACAATGGTTTTCCGAGGGGTCTCAATTTCAAATGTTACCCTACAAAACAGGCACCATTTATTTTATTATACTGAATGTCTTATTGATTAAGGATGTCAGCCAAAAAAAAAAAAAAAAAAACGTCGATCGTCTTTACGCTCATGTATAGAAACCTTTCACACTTACCGGTTACTAATCTCCTTATTGTTTGTTTGATACTCGAATTAGAGTCATTTATCACAATGATATAAAATTTCGTTATTTCTGGCTCGCAAGCATGTTTTCTTCACTCACAAGCATGTACCGTCTGTCGTTTGTTGTTTTCAAGTAAGCTATATCGGACGCAAGCTTTTATTGACGTCAAGTTAATTCCGGTTCTTTCAAACGCGCAACTGACGTTTTGAAAATTCTACGGTGAACCGTATGCGCATAATTTTCACGCATGTGGCATTACCGTTGTGTTACCCGTTGGCACCTGTGTTGCTAAGGCTCAGGGTAATCGAACGGATTGTTAACTGCGTCTAAACCAATCAGATTTTAGTATTTAACATGACAGTATAATAACAACGTTTGGTACCGTGTAACATTCTCCCTGTCAGTTTAACAACACAATAAATACCCGTTTACATTTCTGCTCTGATTATCCTCTTCTAAATCATCTGAATATTGTTGATTTAATTACGGAAACCTTTCTACGTTCTCTTTGTTTTTCTGCATCCTTGAAAACCCTTGATCAAACGTTGAGAAATATTTGAAACATAAAACGTCCACCTTGAGCTCAACGTTCATTTTCTTGACAATCCTAGGCTCAAAATATCACAAGAATGACATACCCCGTTATGCATTGCCCTACATATCTGAAGTTGTTTTGCATCAAAATATGCTTCCTTGGAAGAACACATGCTTTCAACATTCACAATCACATCAAAATGGTGATGGAATCTCATGCCTTGTGAATAAATATTCCTTAGTCAGTTGTTTAAAAATTGAACTTACCTGTAACTGTCCACTAAGTTAACAATTACAATGAATACAAGATTCTTTTGACTGTCATAAAACCCTCACCTGAGACAGTCCAATAAGTAGACAATGCTTACTTAATACAATGGATGAGAAAAAGTTCTAAGAGAGTACACTATGAACACAATAGGGTAAATGTTTTAAGTAGGTTATAGGCCTCAAACTGTCCATTCTGTGAGAAAAAAGAACTATTGTCGGGCCTAACGGCCCTCCAACAGTTCTTTCTTCTCACAGAATGGACAGTTTTTGGCCTATAACCTTCACATATTGGTCTACCCCTCTATACTATAATATATTATAGTATAGAGGGGTAGACCTATATATATACTTATCATACGTCATTTACAGAATTACATGGGGAGCGCCTTTAGAATAGAATAGAATATATGAACTTAAACGGTTTACTCATTTCAAAATATCGTTTCAATTCAGTTCTGGAATGTAGAAGCGGCTCTGTAAAGAGTTGACTTCTGTGTTAGATTTTGACTGGGTAGAGAAAAAGTAATCGTTAGTTATAACAGTGTATGTCGCTATCGACCAATTTTAATCAGTAAATCATGATGCAAAAACTTACACGACTTGCAGACGTCAATGTAAACAACTATACGGATGCAGAAGGATAAAACGTACGCTGAACTAGGACCTGGGGTCCCCCGCAAATAGTTCGTCATTTTGCGTAGTAATAAAACATTCTAGGAACTCTCCAGGCATTAAAGGCACAAAAGTAAATTCATCGATATCATCAATACGGAGACCCCGGTCACCTTCTATATTAACTGAATTTTATATGATAGACAATTTTCTTTGTCTTACTCCAAAATAATCATATTTATAACTTTATAAAGCTCAACTTTCTAATCTATATATATTAACAGAAACGTGAAAATAATAAAGGGTGACCAGAGGTAACCTAATATTTTACATCAATAGGGGGACCGAAGGTCACCTTACATTGTACATCAGTAGGGGGACCAGAGGCCACCTTATATTTAACATCATTAGGGAGACCAGTTGTCACCTTATATTTTACATCATCAGAGGGATCATAGGTCACATTTTCAATCAATAGGGGTCCAAAGGTAATCTTTTATTGCACATAATAGGGGGACCTGGGAATACCTTATAGTACATCATTTGGGGGACCAGAGGTCACCCTATAATGTACATCAGTAGGGGGACTACAGGTAACCTAATATTGTACTGTACATAAGTAGAGGGACCAGAGTAAACCTTATATTGTACATCAGTAGGGAGACCAGAGGGCACCTTATATTGTGCATGAGTGGTGGGGGAGGACACTTTATACTATACGTCAGTAGGGGGACCAGTGGACACCTTATATTGTACATCAATACGGGGACCAGAGGTCACCCGATATTTTACAATAGTACGGGAACTATTGGTCACCTAATATTGAACTGTACATCAGTAGAGAGACCAGAGGTCACCTTATATTGTACATCAGTAGTAAAACCAGAAGTCATCGTATATTGTACATCAGCAGAAGGACCAGATGTCACTTTATATTGTACGGGGACTAGTGGTCACCTAATATTGTACTGTACATCTGTAGCGGGACCAGAGGATACATTATATTTTACATTAGTAGTAGGACCAGAGGTCATCTTATATTGTACATCAGCAGAAGGACCTGAGGTCCTCTCTTGTAGTAGGGGACCAGAGGACACCTTATACTATACATCTCTAGGGGGACCAGAGGACACCTTATATTGTACATCAGTGGGGG